ACATTTCTTCGTCATTTAATTGACAAAAAGGCTTCGGCCGCCATTTTGAAAATCGCTTAGGTGATTATCGCGTAATAATCACCTCAACGGCAACCAATCAGCGTGGAGAATTTTCAATAATCACCTATGTAATTATACTAAATGGTGTTAACCGATTTCCAGAAGGCGAAAGCACCTTTTAGATGCTTAAAACAATTTATTTGGCAATAGATGATTCCAGCTATATAGACGAAATTTTGATCTAGACAAAAAGAACGAAATCCATCATCATTGCTGGAAAGACCATCTTAAAATGAACGAAATGTTGTATAATGAGGAAAATATAGCCCTGTGAAGTTTGCAAATTTTGTATATATTTGCATTACGCACGGGACAAAAAAATTTTTGAGCCGAAAGTGGTTATTTTAAAATAAATTAGTTACCACATGCAGGCTCGGTGATAACAAGATTATATTCACTTCGGTGCTATCGGCTTGTATCACCTCCCCTTCGGTGACTAAATGTTATAAATAGACTGGTTCTAAAAATAGCTGTCATTCTTTTTTCTCCCAAAATTAATTTCAATCGAGGTATTCACTGCCGCCTTACAGAATACTTCAAGACTATATGAGTTTTACAAAATATAAATATAATACCATGTGTTCTATAAGGCGACAGTGTTGGGATTCTCTGATATTAAAAATACCGACGTTTGTGCTAATTTAGCCAGTAAGCCTGACTAGCCTCCTTTTGGTGGTTTTTGACCATTTCAAAGGGCTATAATTTCACTTGCATGGATTGTTTTCAATCTTAACCTTTTGCACTTTGCCTTAAGTTAAATCACAATCTTTGTCGAAGAGTCGTTTATTATTTATTAGCGATGCATGCATAAAAATATAAAGTAATGAAAAATTATGGTAGCTAGTTTTCGAATAGGTCATTGTAATCACGTGCGTCAGCACCATAATACAGAACTATGTGGGACTAATGGACACCAAGGACAAATTTGCTTAAATTTGCATGGAAATTCGATGAGAAATTAGCAAAAGTTTGTCTTCCTTTGCCAGCCAGAGTACACTGAAAGCGTAATTTTGCATTGTATAATTTATGCATGATACTTAATTCGCTGGCGGAGGAATGCAGTCTCCGAGTGCCCTCTAGTTCATTCACACATTCATTTATTCAAACTGGATTCGCAGTAGTCTCGAATAATTTATTCCGTCCAGAGCATATAATAGACAGATTTAGAAAAGACGACGCGACCTCAAAGACGACGTGAAAATGTCGTCAAAATGGCGTGGCACATCCATATATGGACAGAACACGCAATTTTCACGTCGTCTTTGAGGTCGCGTCGTCTTTTCTAAATCTGTCTAGACTATACTATACTATACTATACTATCTGACTAGACTATATGCTCTGGACGGAATAAATTATTCGAGACTACTGCGAATCCAGTTTGAATCAGGAATTAAATTGGTGTAATTTTATTGTTATTACGTTTTCACAGCATTTCCATGTACTATATTTGAACTTTCGCTCTTTATACCAACGAGTTTGTCTACAGTAAATCATTACAGTATTTGCGAGAAAAGCCAGCTAGGGTATCCAACGTCCTTTCTTTTGTTTAGTTTAAATTATTTTTAGTGCTTTTTTTGAAAAAAAACCCCGTTTCCTTGTCATTATCAGTTGAATCTCGCCACATCACTATTGGACCAAGGAATTACTCATGGGTCTACAATTGACTTTAACGGCAGGCTTTATGGAGGTATTTGCAAATTTAATCCTTTCATGGTTAGTGCTATAAGGGACCGGTCATTTATGGCGGCGGATGGCACCGAAGAGAAATGGGTTGGGTAAACAAAATTTTGGGTGAGCAAAAGGTTGGATAATTAATGTAAAACAAAACAACTCAAGGGTTGGGTATAATAAAATGTACTGTCATTTCCAAAGCATGACTCCCTGAAGTAAAAGCAATGTCAACAGTCTGACATACATGTCAATACAATTTGTAAATCAATCAGAGTCACTATCTTGATCATTTTTCGGTTTGTCTGGAGGCAAATGGTGTCTCCAAAGAAAGTACATCTGCAGACAACATGACACTTCAGATTGCACAAAATCGCAACAAACAGTTATCAAACTCATGTCACATAAGTGGTAAAGAGTATTTATTTTTTAATTGATATTTGAGGTTGGGTTAAAATAGGTTTTGGCTTTTTAATGATTGGGTCAGCAAAATGTTTGCCATGAGAAACATTTCTCTTCAGTGCCACTCCCCGCCATAACTAATGACCGGTTCCTCAGTCCCGAGCAGAAGAGACTGACAGTATTATAATATTATATACAGAAAATGTCTAAAAGCTACACCTAAACACATTGATGTGTAGGATTTTCTCGTGCAAGTGCAATCACAACGTTGAAATTCAGTTTTCACATTGGACAAATGAATATGAATCCACCTTTCTGACACTCAACAACACGTGACACTGCACGTGTAAAAAATAGCAGCGACTCGGACAAACATTGCGAACAAATTGTAGATTTAGTATTACACGTGCGTTTAAGTGGTGAACAAAATCGGATTTTTTCGCGTTTTACCGAGAATATTAAAGAATTTCGACGAAATAATTGAGAAAACTGACTTCTGTGTATATAATTTATAACGTGGATAAAATTCAGTCAGAGTAATATTGAAAAAATATCAGTTTAAAGTCAGCGGCGTGCAGCCGTGCTTGGCTGTTGTTTCAGTGACTGTATCATGGTTAAAAGATGTGCTTGGGGTACATGCAACACTGATTCACGATATCCAAAAAGGTTAATAAAAGACGGAATACCTGTTACTTTTCATCCTTTTCCTTCGGAAAGAAAATTCAAAAAACGACGAGAATCGTGGATCCGTGCTTGTTGCCGTGCCGATGGCTTTGTTTGCACAAAGGATAGCTACGTATGTATAGTTCACATTTTGTTGGAAAGAAAGGGCCAACAGAAAAATATCCTGATTCCATTCCAGCGACAGCAAGTAGAGATAAGGTTTGTTATTTTTTTTCTACTTGGCCATGTAAATCCAGGATAATGTGTGATGGTAGCCTATGAATATTTCATTAGCTGATTACATTTTGCATATATACATTTTATATTAGTTGCGATTTTTTGCTTCTCGCATAACAGATCATGCGGCTTGGCAGAAAGAGAAAAGCACCAACTGTACGATTTGCCCATGGAAAAAAGATTTAGGACAGCAAACGATAGATTAGCAGCCGAATCGATGTTGCTACTTTCATCTGCGAAGTCTGATGCTGTCGATGCCTTATTATCTTTGTGTGATGCTAGACTAGACCGTGATATTTGCAAGAATTCAGATGCCTCGTCATCTTTGTGTGATGCTAGACTACAAGACCCTTCTTGTGAGGAATCACTAACAGATGAAGGACAAGACTGAGATAAAATGACCTACGAACTGTGCAACCCAAGTAAGCACTTTAATATTGTACTGGCTTAATTAATCTCAGGTTTAGGAAATATAAAATTTTGTTTATATGATCACAACCTTAAAAGGCTTCATCCCAGCAATGTATTTTGTTCATATAAACATGCTATCCCACCTATAGGCAAGTTTTCCGGTTGAGGCAGGATGAAAACGTCCCGTCCCACCTCGGTGAGATCATATAAACAAGTCCTTAGTCTGTCGATGGATTGATACACTCTCACCCACTCCCCAAGGGTGATTTTAAAGCTGTTTCTGTGGGTTGTTTCAGCATTGTTTGGTTTCTGCGATATTTCAAGGGGGAAATTTACAAATTTCTGAGAAAAAAGATATCTTCGAGGTTAAATATTTTCTGGTCTAATCTGTATGAGGGAGTGAGTAAGTACCATCCATGACATTTTATACCTTCTTTCAAATTTCTGCTCTATATAGACAAATGTCACATTGGATCATCTAACAGTGTTCTCTGATAGCCAGATGATATCCCCCCAAAAAATGTCAAAACATTTATTCATGCAAAATGTAGAAAATCCGAAGAACTCAATGCATTACACTGGTAAGTACAATTTGTATGTACCTTCATATATAAGGAATAACCAAGGGAAATATATTGGTCCGTTTCTATTTTCCTTTTTTTTATAATTTAAGGTTTAGAAATAAGTGTACTCCATGCACTTCATAATCTGTTAAAAGACAAATCTGCAAGAATGCATGTGTGGAAAGGTTAAAAAAAACCCCAAGAAATTTGTTGGTGAACATTACCTTAAGGTTAGTGTGCAAACAGCCAGTACTCAACAAACTACCCAGACCAAGCACACTAAGGTATTTTTGTTGCATGAATAGTCTGGAAGGATGTAAATACAGGAATAAAAAATAGCAAGATTTTTTTCTAATATTACTGTATATTACCCTTCCTATTTTTTAGCAAAATACAATCTTTCTGCACTATCATCATGGAAGCAACTGGTTCTAACACTGGTTAGATTACGCCGCAATTTATCAATCACTGTTCGTGCAAATGTTTTTGGGATTTCTGTTGCATCTGCAAGTAGAATCATCATGAGCTGGATTGTATTTTTGGAGAAAGAACTTAACTTTTTGCTTCATTTCCCAACATTGTCAGA